AAGTTTTGGATGTTAATGACGAGGCGGGCTAGCATCGGCGTCGGGCCGGCCCAAACTTAACTTGCGGCGTCCGTTCCGCCCTGCGCCGCGTTGAACGTCTTTTCTCCCCCATCCTTCCCTCTTCTTCCCTCCTCTCCCTCACGCGGAGAGCGCGCGAGATCCGGCGATCCGAACCGATGAATGCGCCGTCGACGGCGGTGGGCCTTAGCTCGGCGGATCGCCACGTCCTGACCGCGGTCAGCGTGGGCGCAGCAGCGCTCTCGCTCGCGGGGTCGGCCTTCATCGTCCTCTGCTACCTCCTTTTCAAGGAGCTCCACAAGTTCTCCTTCAAGCTCGTCTTCTTCCTCGCCCTCTCCGTAACCCCTCCTCTTTCTCTCGCATGCCTTTGTCTTTGTTCTGTCAGATATGATATTAGGTTTCACGGATCGTCCTTCGATCTCATCGTTTGACACTTCGTTGATGTTTGGGAGTGTAAAGATCTTGAGTCGAAATAATGAGGGGTTCTAATGCGTGTCTGTAGATTCTGGTGTTCACATAAATATAGCTAATTCTAGTTTAGATCTATAGTTGTGAAATAGAGCATTGGATACCAATCACCCCAGCAGTTCATTATTCATAATATTTCTGCTTATATTTTATTGGAACGAGGGAAATGGAGCGGAAGCAATCGATTGACATGCTTTTAAAAGTGGCCATCTTGTTTGTTAATTCTTCTTGGTTGAGGATCAATGTGATCTTTTATTAGCCTTGCTTCGTTATAATGTTTGCTCTAAAGGGATTGATGGAGACTGAAATGTTCCCCATAGGCATTAAGGCTATTACTGATTTCTCATAGCTTTTTCTTTTGTCAAAATCACGTTGGCAATGTCTAAATTAAAAACTTTGTCAAAAAACTTTGACCAATGATCTGCTTCACATTTTGAATTTTGTAGAATGTATCGTGTGAAACTCTTTTATTAGCAAACTGAGTAGACATCAGAAGACATGAAGAGGAACTGTTGACTTCTGAGTGGGTAATTAATAAATGAGATAGTACAACTTTTATTTTTTCTTTGTTCTTTGGGTGCATGGATTGAATACAAATGATGTTGTATGTATGCTTTTCATCCTGAAAGGAAATGGAAGCTAGATCACGAGACTCTTGGCAATGCAGGTTTTGAATAGGGTCAATATATGAAGTCTTACTCCTGAAAGTAGAGATGTCTTAGTAACTGAGTCTAACCCAATATTTTCTTTTTTACTTCTGCTTTAGAGCCAATATGGTGCCCGTTAAAATGTATCTCTATTCTATTATATGAACCAAAGATATAAAAGTACTTGACCTTCTGTTGTATGGTAGAGCACTGTCTCCTTGGTAGGAGGTTTGGGTTTGATCCTCATTTAGGCACAAGTTGTGTAGGTGGATGATTCTTCTTCATGGGCTATGGGCTACTTAATGGGTCTTGTATCCACTTCTGGTTTAGGTTGATCTTTGTAAAGCTAATGTCATATGGTTTGCTGCCCCTTCTAAAAAAAATTAATCTTTTCAAGTATCTAATTGCACCTTCATTTCATGCTCTGTAAATGATTTTGATTTTTGATTCTAGTTGAGGAATCTCATATTGTGCTTCTTCCCCTTATTGTTTGCGTCAAAATTTAAGGTTACATTCTTGAATTAAATTACATATTTGTGCACATGGTTGAACAGACAAAACTTTACCTATCTATATAAAATCCTTTTGCTGGTTCTAAATTATTCTTCTTATTCTTCTTTTGAATGGAAATTATATACTCACCAGTGGAAATTTGGCCTCCCATGCATATCCTTAGAAGATGAAAAATTTCTCTTGTATAATCTTTTACTGTTTCTTTTGGTATCTTTTAATTCTTGGTTGAGGCAACGTCCATGTTTATAGTGTCAGCTCTAATCTTGTACCTTTAGTATGAGTCGGTGTAGTCAGCAACACATTTCTGCTAATTTAGTTTACGTGTTTTGCAGGATGTGTTTTGCAGTTTCTTCACCATTGTTGGGTATGCTTTTTTGTTCCTATAATTTGTTTACAATTTGAGGTTTTAATTGAAAGTTTGTATTGTCCAATAACAATGTCAATCTGCTAGTCATAATCCATGCACACTCTTGTCTGTGAGACAAACAACATAATGGCCTCATTCATAGTGAAAACAGCTTAATGAAGTACCTTACTGTCTATTGTATTCTGATGTGCTGGACATCAGCACATGGTAAATGTAAAATTATTGTAAGAGGCCTGGGACATTTTCTTCATACATCACATGCCATCCTTTTGGCGTGATGTGAGATTGCATTGTCAAAAGGTATCCTAAACATCGACATCAAGTGTAGATTAAAGACATTACATTTTTCATGTGAAGTTTCATTTTTATATTTGGGCATCATGTTTACTTTTGATTAGTTCAGTTGATGTGTGATATGGATATATATCTCTCAAGCTGATGAGGAATGTAAATTATATATGCTTCAACCGTTTGACTTTTATCCTGTTTGTGGTTGAGGGACAGGGCTTTTTTGGACATTGTTATTTACATGTGATCTTGAATTGTGAACTTAAGCTAACATTATGTGAGTTGATTTTTAGAATGTAAACTCCTACCCAAGTATGATACCAAAATTTTGAGCACTTGATTGTTAAGAAGTTTCTACTATATTTTCATGATGTACTCTATTTTTACATCCGTGCTTGGCTTTTTCTCATCGCATAAAACAAAAAAGCTATACCTTTTATCATGTGGACCTTTGTGCGATGATTCAATTTCTCCTAACTTGGGTAATTGGGGTTTGAGTCACGGTAATTATCTCTCCACTTGGAGGGCTCTGAATGTTGACCCTAAACCCTGTCCGCTAGGCTGCTCTTCTTTATATTCTTTATAGATAACAGGCTGCATGTTTATAGTCGTGAATTAAGGGTGATTCTGATTGACAATAGAAACAAATGAATACCGGTTGTAGTTTTCTGGACAAGACCATTAATTGTAGTGGTCAGGAAAAGTGATTCAATTGAGATTAGTATTTAAAGAAGAGGTAGATGAAGATCTAAGAGTACTTTATCAGAAAATAGAAATGAAAGAAGTCATTTGAGGGCTCTTGGTTTAATTAGACATTGCACTTAGTGATATTGCATTTTCTTAAAACTCAAGGGTGGAAGAAGATCCCTGCAATGGTTCACAAGTAGTTGGGATTTATGGTTTATGTATTGCTTGAATAAAGGTTCTCATTAAGATCCCCTTTACTTTTTGCTCTTATGGATTCCTCATTATAAAATTTTGAACATATCGATTGTTGGTTTCTTACACTGTTCCTATGATGCAGGGATCCATCTAATAGATTCTTTTGCTATGCTCAAGACTACAGTGTACATTTCTTTTGCGTGGCTTCATTCTTGTGGACAACAACCATTGCATTTACTCTTCATCGCACTGTTGTGAAACACAAAACAGATGTGGAAGATTATGGATCAGTCTTTCACTTGTATGTTTGGGGTATGATTTCCAATAACCTGTTTCAAAATATTATCTCATAGAAGCAATTTTGATTATTATTTTTTTAATGTTTCCTCTGTATAGAACCTCACAATTTCCTCCTGCCTTGTTTAGTAGAAGTTCATAATATGCATGTTAGTTCCAATTGGATTTGCTTTCATTTGATAATTTGTGCAAGAATAATTAGCCTTCAAATGAACTTCTAGCATGTGTCTTAGTGACAATGTCAGACATGAATGCTGTATTAGAAAGACTACGGATGGCAGTTAAAGTGGATGGAGTGATTGTAACATACGATACAAATGCTGAAGAACGGGATAAAGCAAATATCAGTTCTAATTTATAATAAGCATATAAAGAAGCTTTTTATTCTTCATCTTGTGCTATCATGAACAAGAAGAAAGCCTTAAGAGTTTCATTTGAGCTGAAACTCAAAATGTCCTTTCCCACCTTAAATGAGAATGTATGGCTCGCCGATAAATTTTACATGATTGTATGAATTCATGATTGGCATTATGGCATTTTAAGAATTCATCTCACACCGGCAACTATTAAATGCTAATAAGTTCATATGTGCTGTTCTAATTAATTCATGGTAACATGTATTAATATAGCATTTAACCTTTCTTTGTTGGTTTCGTAGTTTGCTTTGAACTTCTAATAGAATTTATGTGTATGGTAAAAGTACTGCTAGATTTTTTATATGAAGGAAAATCAATTAAGTATTTTGTTGTTGATTATGGCTCTCTTTCGCTTTAGTTAAGAGGTGGACGGAGGATAGCAAGATTGTCTGAGCTGCTAACTTTTGTATTTCCTTATCCTTTCTGTGGGATTGGGCCTAGGAGTGAATGGATGTTGTTGTCATCTTTTATACATTGTTGCAATGACCATTAAAGTCATTGGTTATTTAAATACGTGGCACTTCTCTCAAAATTCACAATCTTGGCTCCTAGCTCCTTGTGCAATTGCATTTCTTTGCACTTTGGTTTTTCTGTTCTAACACATTATAATTTATTGCTTTGAGTTCAATAATTACTTCAGTTGTGAGATTAGTTTGCTATTATCCCATGCTTTGAACATTAATAAATGCACTTCAGAGTCCAAATTCTCTTCCATAACAAATACCTGGGTTTCGTTAAGTTACTCTTATTTTTTGAAGTAAGTTGCTTACATTCATCAAACTCGTTTTTGAAAGGTGACTTGTTTCTGCTTCTATTTATATTTGTGGTTCTACTCAATGATTGAAATATCGTACCATACCGAAGTTTCGATCTTCTCTCGGTACGATACGGTACTATATACCGAGCGGTATACCGTTCAGTATATATATATATATATATATAAAGAAAATTTCGGCGACGTCGCCTCCCTTCTCCCCCACGCGAGGCGACATCGCCTCTCTTCTCCCCATGCAGGGCGACGTCGCAGAAAAATGAGGCGACGTCTCCTCTATATATATATATAATCTTTTATTTATATATCTATTTATTTAAATATATTTATATATAATTTTTTTTAAAAAAATGTGCGACGTCGCCTCGACGATGTCACCTCTCTTCTCCCCTGGCGCGGCGACGTCACAGAAAAACGAGGCGACGTCACCTATATATATATATATATATATATATATATATATATATATAATATTTATATATCTATTTATTTATATATTTATATATCAAAATTTTAAAAAAAATGTGCAACGTCGCCTCTCTTCTCCCCAGGCGGGGCGATGGCGCAAAAAAACGAGGTGACGTCGCCTTTATATATATATTTTTTATAAATAAAAAATACCTCTTGGTAGCGAGCAGTCCGTGTATCGGTTTTCTATCAGACCGGTACATACCGCCCGTATTGGGCGATATCATTCGAAACTGTATACCTTGATTCTACTAATCTTGCTATACTTTTTCCAACATTGTCAATATCGCTTTTAACGTTGAGAAAAATCTCCCAAGCATTCAATTAGAAGATTACTAATTAACTACATAACTTTATTGCATGAAAGGAAGATAACAAACCCAAGCATGACTTTAAGGGCTTATAAGGATGCATATTCATAAGGTCACTAGTGCCAAAATCTCCTAGTCTTACTAATATTTTAAACTAGGCTAGGAATTTCCATTTATTGTACAAATAAAATGCTATAGATTAGTCAAACTTCATAATTGAATTCTCTGTTGCTGCTCTCTGATGTTTCTTAGTCCTCTCTGACCATGAGTAGGCCCTAACAAGGTCTATCCATGCTATTCACACAAACTGCCCTTATAGTTTTTGTTCTGTCCATATGAACGAATGTGTTGGGTGCTGGACAGTTATATTTGATTAGGACTTAAGCCTAGTAGCCTACGGCCTGTTCTGATTCAGATTTGGTTTCTAATGGCCTCTTGGCAAACACCTAATTCTTCCTAGACTAGCCATGTTAATAATCATTTAATGTGACTATAGTTTTTGATGCATTTTCAGCTTGACTTGTACAATTAACCAGGCTGTTTTATGAACACATTTCCAAAACTTCCCTAACATGTTATAGTAATATTGAGAGTTATGATGGATAATTGACTGTCATGGATTTCATTTTCTCGGATTTTAAAATAGTTTCCTTTATGTTTACTATTGACTGACAGGTACTTCGCTTGCTACGACTGTAATACGTTCGATAGGCAGTGATTATGGACGACCAGGGGCATGGTGTTGGACTGAGCCTGCTCGAAGTGGGAAGGCATGTCTCTACTTAGAGCTTCTTGGATCTTCTACCTCAACAACTCGTTAATTTTTTTCATAGTAATGATAATTAGTTTGACAGATTGTACTCTACAGTTTTGCTTCATGTGATTAATTTTGCAGAAACTGTTAGCATGTTTTGTCAACCTCAAGTGTTTACCAATCTCATGAGTAATTGGGTTTACACTATGATATTATATATCAGAAATGAATTTTGCTTTCTTCATACACACTACAAGATTGAAAAGCAGAGGAGCACTAGATGAAATTAACAAAAGATTTAATCTTGAGAATATGGGAAAAAAGAGGAAATTTTAGGATTTCGTAGGAAGTACACTTCATTTGTTTATGTTCAGCCTTTTGTCTCCAAGACAGCAAATAATGTTGCCTTGATCCTAGTCTGTTCTCTGAGTTCAACTTCAAGTTTAAGATAAACAAGAATTATTCAGCCATTTCGTCAACTCACTAATCATGACAACATTTTACCTGTTTTGCATTAGTGATAACTATAATGATAGAAAAAAGAAGGCTTACTTTTACATTTTGTGAGTAGATTAGCAAGCTAGGTACAAATGATATATAGGCTTGTCCTTCCAATTTGTTCTTTGGAATTGTTTTTTGCTATCTATTTGCAGTTACTTTCTTATTCACTTTTGTGCATTTTTTTATGATATATCGGCAAGAATATGTATTTGCTCAGGAGTCAGGACATCTGAAGTTTTTGCCTCTATTCTTGCGATGAGCTGACATATTTTCTAGTCTGTTGCACAAAGAAACAAAATTTGGTAGAAAAACAGAAATGGAATAACAGAAATTCTTTAGTCTGTTGTACAAACAACTTTCTAGTTTGGATGCTCATCCACATCATTGAATTACAGAAATTGAAAAGTATTTGGCTTGGAAGTACCTGATATTTTGAATTATATGGACTTTTCTGACACATTCTAGTGACTGGTACTTGAAATTGCTTTATTGGCATTTACATCTATCAATTTTTTGGATTTCATGTTTGCAATTGTTGATGTAACTAGGCAATTTTACTACTGGTATAAAAATCTGGCATGTCATTCAGTATTTCACTTAGCTCCCATTCTAGTTGTATTTAGTCTTGATAAATTAGAACAATTTCTTGTAGTTAGCTATTTTAGGTCTTATGTACTTAGTTTTCTGTAATTTGTTTAGTTCAATATGACAACAGCAACATATAACTGACTTGTGGATAGAAATTGGTTAATACTTTTGTTTGCAATATACTCTTTCCTGTTCGTTTGAGTAATTCCATGATATTGAAGAAGTTGCTTAATATTTGTGTTCTCAATGTTCATGTTTCCTCTTCACTTGAAGTACTACATGATTTTAAAGAGTAGCACTCTTTGCAGGTAGCTCACCTAATAACTTTTTATGTGCCATTATGGAGTGCTATACTTTACAATGGGTTTACATACTTTCAAGTGAATCGCACGCTAAGCAATGCAACACGGGTACATTCAGTATTTTAAGAAATATTATATGTTCTTTTGTGGTATAAGAGATTGCTATTTTTGTTTCTTGTTTATTCATGCGATTGGTTATTTATGCTGCATTGCAAGCCTATCTTGGCCTCATGCTTGATTAGCTTACATGCAGATGGCGGTGGCCTTGTCCGAGCAACCAAACCAATCTGACATGAGGGCAGAAAAGAAGGTCCTTGGTTCTACTTCTAAACTATTCTTTTGTAATAGATGTATTTGGTTTTTCTTTGCTGAGGATCTTGGTATCCCACACTGAGGTGATATGTGGAGTGGTACAAGCTCAGTATATATTGACTGTTAAAAAATAATCGATATTAACAATTCTACCATGAGTTCAGTTATTTATATCCATTTTTTATAATTTGTGCTGCATGTGTACCTCATATTTGTGTGTTATTCTTCTATTTATCTTTAGCTAGTTTTACACTCCTACTTGGCCTACCAAGTTAATATTTTGTTGTGAAGAACACTGAGAATTTTATAATTTCTCTTGGCAAATCAGAAGTCTTATCAGCTGATACATGATATTTGTTTGGTTGTTTAAACTTTAAAGGCATTCAATAGGTGGGGCTACTATCCTTTGATTCTGATAGGATCTTGGTCGTTTGCAACAATCAACCGTCTCTATGACTTCATTAGTCCAGACCACAAGATCTTTTGGCTTTCGTTCCTTGATGTCGGGTTTGCTGGACTTATGGTACATGTTTCTCTGAACTTTATTTCTGTTCCTGTAACAGCAACTTGCATGTTTATATCTCTTTTTCTGCAATGGAACTAATGTTTGAAGATTTTAAAAATGGTTTGGTTGTCCTACATTTCTTCTGTTGCATGCTGGTCGTAGATATCTGTGAGAAATATGATACATGTTTCTCTTTAACTTTTTTGTTGTCCTTGAAGCTGCATCTTGTATGTTTGTCTCTTGGAATTGATGTTTGAAGATCTATAACAAGTTTTGTTGTTGTAACTTTCTTCTGTTGAGTTCTGGTTATTTATATATTTGAAAGACATTTTCTCATACACTTGATTTTTTCTGCTACTAGTTGAGTTTGTTGCACACGATAAATACCTCCGAGTAATCTTCCTATGTTTGTTAAGAAACATGACATACTAGGCTAATGTAGTGTTTCTGAAATAGTTATGTATATGAAACTATACAAATATGCTAATACATCAGTTCTTGAAAAGGCTGGAAATGGTATCCCAATATTTCAATGGCAAATGAAACTAAAGTGTTAAAATACCATGTGGCCTATGATGAGTACTGTTAATGATACATGTCGAGGAAAATGCATTTTTCTGAAGTATAATGTTCTATGGTTCCATGGATCAGTACATGGGGAACACATCTGTTCAATGTCCATAATAAAGCAGTACTTCTATTTTTAACAGCTACAAGTTGCCTGCTTATAAAAATCATTTTGTGAATGCTCATTTTGTTACACGATTTTTTCAGTCGTCATTTTTGGATCAGTTTCGTTGGTGTTTGAAAATGCTATGTATTGATTTGCCAATCATGTTACCTATTAAGTCTTTAACTTAATAGTATATATTTTAATTGTCTATAATGTCATCTTTTCAATCTTCACTTATGGTATACTTTTCTTTTCTGTGTTTAGGGACTGTTTAATTCAATTGCTTATGGTCTTAACTCATCTGTACGACGAGCGGTCACCGAAAGAATTGAATTGTAAGTCCACGTTACTTATTTAAATACTTATGTTGCAGTGCTGTTCGTCCATCTATTCTTCTCTTACAATCTGTGTGTGCACTTGCATGTGTTTTTGCACTTATGGACATCTGTGTGTGTACCTCTCAATCTTTGTATAATCCCGATCTTCCATGAGACCCAGCGATGACTCTATGCAGTGCTGTTTGTTGTAATTGACATTTTCTCTTTGTTGATTTGTGAATTTATGAGGAAGTCAGTAGCGGTTCACTAATCCATTGGTATGTTGGGCTTTTATAATTTCTCAGATGGATTCCCGAGAAATATAGAAGGTGGCTTCCGGTTTCTTCAAAGCTAAGAAGTCGACAACCAGAAAGTGAGCTCACTTCACTAATAGTTGCAAGCCAGCAGTAACTATGGTCTGCTGTATTTTGGTCCTCCAGTGTACTTGCTTCCTCATAGAAGAGCCACGAGGATTGGAAGTATCATAGCTATTGGCAAAACTGCTTTTTTTTACTCGAGTTGCCCATTCCAGTGACATCCTTTACCCAAAATCAGTAGCATGCTACGCAATTACACATCAGAGATTTTTTCAGCTTCGCCATTTCCGAAACTTCTTATCACTCGCAGCTCACGAGAACGATTCGGTCTGCCTAGGTGGTAGGCATCGATGAGGTCCCTACATATAAGCCTCGGAGAATCTAAGGAGTGATGGGAAATTCATAAATGCAAGTAAACAGAAGATAAGCATGTGAGGCTAAGCTTGTGCATCAAAATTTATCAGTGTCGATATTCTTTTATTTTGGTTTTTTTGTATCATTACCGGAACATCACGAGTTACTGATGCTTCTTCATGCTCTGGGATTCGGGATTTATTGATCCAGCTATGGTACTCTGATTGTGATGACATATGTTGATAGTGAATATCATCAGATCAATTGTTTTTTAGTAACTTTTCCAGTCATTTTTCCCTCTCTGGTGATTCCCACCCATTTGGATGTATCAGATAAGCAGTGTAATTTCTGTTTCTCATCAGGGTTCTTAATGTACCTGAAGAAACCAGTCATTAAATCGAAAGATATAGGATCACTGTCAATTTCTGGATCTTCATCTGTTGTATTAATCCAGTGAAGCTGCTTAGAAGTCAATTTACCATCATTTAGCATGATATCTACTTGCTCGATCAAGCAGTGTTCCCGGACAATTTCTTGCCAGCCTATCATTCCTTCAATGCAAATATCAACTATAAATCCAACGGCAGTGTAACCAAATTAAATTGGTTGAGGGTACCTATAGATCAAAAGTCAAACCATAGCATGTTGATAAATATAAATATAAATATATATAATTAATATGTGCAACAGAAATAATATGATCAAAAGTCAAAAGTGTTATTTCTCTATGGGAAAGTGTGATGTATGATCTGTGGGTGTTGGTGTCATGGTTCTATCATGGTGTGCATCATTCATCTTCCCCTATGCTAAAAGCCAAGCGGTGGGCCTCCTGATGTTGGAGACACCGCAACAAAAGCCTTGTCTTGTCCGATGATCACCATGGCTGTGGACAGCGGAGGAGGATTCACTTTGCAGGTCTCACCTTTTCCTCATCTCCATTGTGACCTGAAGCTGTTCGAAACTCGAGGGAGGGAGAGAGGGAGGGAGGAAGAGAAATCTCTGCTAATATATTGATAGCGAACAAAGCTTGTAGTTTTAGCACAAGGAGAGACGTACGAGAACGAGTTGAGTGTCCACATCACATCACACACGCAATCACACGGCAGTGGTCACCATCTCAGGTGGCTTGCACCGGTAGTCCAGAAATAAAGCCAACAGCTTGATTTGTTTTATTGCTCTAAAATTCAGATGTCTTGCTCTAAGATTTTGCAAGACACTATACTAATAATTAATTATATATATATATATATATATAAAGAAAGATAACGAGATTGATGTTAATTAAGGGGCGAGTTCTGGGGAAATTATTTTATGGAAAATATCTCTATTCTCAAAATTCCCTAACAACATTATTATTATTTACTAATATCTAAAATATTTTTTAAAAAAATATAAAAGAGAAAGAATGATTTTTCTATAAAATATTTTAACAAGAATAAATTACTAATTCCTTTTTATGGTTTATCTTAACAAGAATAAGTTACACTCGACTTATACTCATACTACACTTAATCATAGATTTAACATAAAAAAATATTTTAAAAATTAATCATATTAAATTCACACAAAAATAAAAATTGATACTAAGCATTTTATATATCATCCTAGTAGTTCTAGAGAAGTTTAAATAAAAATTTAAAGAGTAGATCACATATTTCAAAAATTACTCACCTTAAATTCATATAAAAATAAAAAAAATGATACCAAACATAGTATCATCTTACTTTAGTAATTATGAAGAAGTTTAAAAAATTTAATAAAAATTAAACCAGTTATATACTCGATCATCGATTCAATAAAAAAAATCTTATTTAAAAATTTATTCATCGTAAAATTATAAAAATTTTAAAAAATAATATTAAATGTCTTATAATCATGTGTCAATAGTTGTAAAGAAATTTGAATTGATTTGATCAAGATAACTTAATTATATTCGATCAAATACTTATACTCGATCAACGAGTCATTCAAGTTATCGCTCTCGTGTTACATTTAGATTATTCAAGTTGGATGCGTGACTATCCTCGACACAGTCCCGCTAGCTTAGTCATCCACGTTTGAATGCCAAATGTTTCTATGAATAATAGATCGATTCGAAAGTATTATTTATTTATTTTTTTAAAAAAATAATTTTTTGATAAAAAATTAAATATGAAAACGATAAAAGTTCAACATATAAAAAAATTTTCGGTGATAAATTACCCATATTTTGCCCCCTCTTTTTCCCCCCTGCAGAACACGATACAAACCGCTGTAGGCTGCCAGTGATCTCTACTTGCCTTGTGGTACTCCTCTTCTGTAGCTACTGCTTTGGGATTTGGAGCACAGCACATGCCCACCCTTTTGGCTGCCCCCGTCGAACACCACTGTGTCTCTTTCCCATTCTCATCATCCCATCACCGCACCCGACACAATCCAATCTCTCTATCTCTCTCTCTCTCTCTCTCTCCGTTTATCGAAGAAGAAGACGGTAACTTCGTCCACCATTTCCCCTGGCCATGCCTGGGAAAAGATGATGTACCTTTGGCCACATCCTCCCTGGGAATAACTATAATAGAAGATGGGGGGAGCTACATGGGCCTCATGATGGTCCTCCGCGTGATCATGAGAAGCGAGAAAGATGGGGCGGCTGTACCACCAGCTATCACCACCACCTTCCCTTCTCTCTTCCTTCTCCTCGCCCCTGGGCTCAACATCAATTATGGCCCTCCCACCCACATCATCACCCGTCTCTTCTGCTCGCTTTGGGCAGTCATCATCATTACTTTCCCGTCGTTTCGGTAGGAGTGGGAGGTCATGTGAAGCCTAAAAGCAAGAGGGAGGAGGCGGAGGAGAGAGGAGATGGCCTTGTGGTGGGGGGAAGCTCCACTGTCTTCACGCCAAGGAAAGCACATCGATCTCCCTCTTCTGTACTTGCGTTGGGGAATCAAGCGTCTCGGTCCGATCCTTTCAGCTTTTAGCTACGATTGTGTAAAAGAACAGGCACTACTAGACTTGCTTTGCTAAGCTTCTTCTTCCATGCATGTCTTACTTTGTCGATGCATGTTGCCGTGTGACGGGATTTGATCCTTAAATGTGTGTTTCTGCTCATGTATCTTTCGTTTTCCTTTTCCTATCGATTTCCTACGAATCTAAGACAGCTTAAAATTCTTCCATCTGCCCTAAATAGTTTCTTACCATCTCGCTAGGGTTGTGATATCCCGATAGCCTCGCTTTCCTTGCCCTCACTCTTTGCTTCCTTCGCACGGTCGCCCAGATGAGATCCCCACCAGCCCATGGAGTGGATCTGATCTATCAAAACAGGTTGACTGGAACTGTGGAAACATATGTTCTTGAGACATAGCAAGATCCAAGTCCACTTCTTGGTTGGTCTCAGCATAAGGACCTCGTAAGCTGTTGCTGCATAATTATGGCAGTCACATCCATCTGGATGTAGTAATTAGATTCATCGTGTAGGTTCGAGAAATAGTAGGAGGATCAAATGCTTGCTTGTGTTCACAATGCAATCATTGTGCAAGGAATACAAGACAAGGGAAACTATAGGCCTCAGTTCTTTCTGCAGAATTGATCAGTCATTTGATTCGATCATAGGTACTGTCTTAAAGGTTCGATACTTGTTGAGTTCTTTTAGGTACTAACTAGCTAACTTGCAATTAGGTTATCTTTAGAGTAATAACACCTAAGTCTTATCTCTTTCCTCATTTAATTTGCTGATCATACATATGATGGTCAACATGCTACTGGTGTACATTATCAATCAATCACTAAATTACTAATGCAATCATCTTTTTGTCTATGGATGTCGGTTTATCATCATCATCATCATCATCTTTGTGTGTGGAGCTTTCGGAAACAGTTTGTGGGCTAATTTTGCAGTGACTATAATGCTTGCTTATGAATTCATTATGGATAATAGTATGTCAATGGACCATTATGCTGAGGTAAACAGTCTTGATGCTATATTTTCTGGATTCATGTTCCTTTGATGATGTGTATACTTTGTTGGAAGCTGTTCGAGCTTCAAAGTGACAAGTTCTTCTAGAATTTGGAAAGGTTTTTGATCGAATAAATATGTTTTCATGATCAAAATACTGAACTCTTTTAACAGTTGCATCAGTGCTGAAATGAGATAGATAAATCCTGCAGCATGTCATATCATTTTCATGTCTTATGCAGACAGACACTTATCACTTACAAATGTCAAGTGGAAGGTGTAGCAGTGTCTATCAATGTCAAATATATATATATACATATGGAATGAGAAAAACATGGACTTGTCTGGTCATATTTATCTGTCTGCATCTTATTATCATAGGATAAACTTGTATGATTATTTCTAGCTGATCCTAAGACTCAGGAAATCAGCATGGTTGGTCGAAAAGATTTTTCGTATACGAAATAGCGATTATGAAGGATCCAGTGATTTTTTTTGCTTAATTCTAAGAACAATAATGTGGGGAAGACAGTGATGAACTCAACTCTGATCTCACCAGCTGTGCACACTCTTTTCCTGTATAGGTTTGAGGGAGTCGATACTTATCATTCCTAAAGGCTTAGTGTTTAGAAACACCATCATCGTATGAGGTGGAGAAGAACTCTTTCTGTATAGAACAGGAATTACAGTCACAGAATGAACTGAGAATATTGTTGCACACTTTCCTTTCTCAAAAGTAGTATGCATAGTTCATCATATGTGTTGGTTTTGATGTATTATGATTATTCTACTTTGTCAGGCCCCTTCTACCATGTAATCATTTAGGCCTTTCTATCTCTTGGGGAATTCATCACTTGCCTATCAAACAAGTAGGAAGTGGACAAATAAATCATTTGTTGTTGTTAACCATCCAAATCTGCTGTCATGTTCCAGCCAAGTTCACTTCTTCAAGGTCCATAACCTTATCTCTTGTCATTTTCCTAACATATATATATCTCAAACATCAAGCTAGTTGAATAGTAAGGATCATAACCTTATTATCTGCAAGCAAATTCTTCCTGAGGGAAGTTACAGGTGAAGATTGGAGGAGAATATAGCTAATAGAAATCAATCTCAACTGGATTTACTTGAGCTTGGATCTTGTTTGAAGTACTACCATCTGCCTTCTCCAGTGTCTCTCTTCCAAGAATGTTGATTGCATTGAATTAGGAGCTTAGGGTTGCTAAAGATTCCAATAGGGTGTTTGGTAGATCCATGTGATGCCACTTATTGCTGCTAGTTGATGGGAGATTGACAATGTGATGGATAATAGCATTTTGTATTATTCACTTCTTTAAGATGATGTC